TGGATGTAGTGCTGCAGGCACTCACTAGTTTATGGCAAGAAATTTGGAAGAGAGCTACCTGACTAACCAGCAGGAAGAGATCCCTATTTGTGGCCATGCCAAAGAAAGGTGATCCAAGAGAATGTGGAAATTATCAAACAATATCATTAATATCACATGCAAGTAAAATTTTGCTGAAGATAATTAAAAAACAGTTGCAGTAATTATATTGACAGGAAACTTCTAGAAATGTAAGCTGGATTTAGAAGAGGATGTGGAACAAGAGATATCATGGCTGATGTCAGATGGATCTTGGCTGAAAGAGGGGAATACCAGAAAGATGTTGACCTGTGTTTTACTGACTATGCAAAGCCTTTCATTGTGTGGATCATAACAAATTATGGGTAACATTGTGAAGAATGGGAATTCCAGAACACTTAGTTGTACTCTTAAGGAACCTGTACATAGCTGAAGAGGCAGTCTTTTGGACAGAACAAGGGGATACTGCTTGGTTTTAAATCAGGAAAGGTGCATGTCACGGTCATATCCTTCCACTGTTCTTACTGAGTACATAATCCAAGAAGCTGGACTATATGAAGAAGAGTGTGGCATCAGGACTGGAGGAAGACTCATTAACAACCTGCAATATGCGATGACAGAACTTTGCTTGCTGATAGTAAAGATGACTTGAAGCACTTACTGATGAACATTAAAGACTATATAGCCTTCAGTATGGATTATGCCTACCACTTGTCTGTCAGTTTGTAGTACTGTGGTGGCTTGCATGTTGCTGTGAGGCTGGAGACTATGCTACCAGTATTTCAAATACCAGCAGGGTTACCCATGGTGGACAGGTTTCAGCTGAGCTTCCAGACTAAGACACAGAAGACGGAAAGGGCCATTTACTTCTCAAAGAATTGGCCAGTGAAAACCTTAAGAAAAGCAATGAAACACTGTGTGATATATTACTGGGAAACTTTATGAATAGCCCTGAAACATTGTCCAATATAGTGCTGGAAGATGAACTCCTCAGGTTGGAAGGCACTCAAAATACAACTGGGGAAGAGCTACACCTATCAGAGTAGAGCTGACCTTAATTATGTGGATGGAGTAAAGCTTTCATGACCTCCATTGGCTGATGTGGCACAACTCAAAATGAGAAGAAACAGCTGCAAATATCCATTAATAATCAGAACATGGAATGTATGAAGTATGAATCTAGGAAAATTAGAAGTTGTCAAAAATGAAATGGAACACATAAAGATCAATATCCTAGGCAT